CCTACAAAGAAAAAGAAAGTCTGGAGGATATATAATTGTTTAATCTTATTAGCACTCAGTTTTCATTACGTACAAAGTTTTGAGTTGATTAACAGCCTTTCGAAAATTTTTTTTTTTTAACAACTTTCTTTAATAACTAAATGTATCATCTTCATCGTCAAAAATTTGGGCACAGTTACTATTAGTATTATTATTATTATAATACAATTACTATTACGCAAATTTTTGTTTATTATGTTATGTTTCAAATTTCGTTCATAAAATGTTTTTAGTTTTAAATACATTTTACATATGCACGATATCTTATGCATATTCATGACAATACAATCATAATATCAGGATGTATAAATATTCAAATATATTGTATTACGTTGTAATGTAATTATTTAACATAAATTCAGTTTAGTGAAAGAGAGATAAATATTTAAAATATTGATGATTTCCATTATAACTTTAATTTATTATAATTTTTCGAAAGCCAGAATTTGTATTGTGTAACATATTTTTATATAAAAATGTAATAATTTTCAAAAAGGTGAAAGTAATAATGAGTAATAAATACTCGACAATAATTTTTATTGTTTATAATAATCTAATGCATATATATTTTTTGTTCAAGGATCTGTAAGATGTCAGTGAGTTTGCTTGCTATAGCCTTTCTTTTCTTAATTTTCGTTTCGGATAGTAAGGCTCAATTAAATTTTTCTACCGGATGGTCCCAAGGAAAAAGAGGTCAAGATGTGCGGATTAAATCGAATAGTATAGATTGTTCGTCGCAAAGTGCGCTGGAACAATTGTTAAAATTATACTCGTTTATTCAGGTAAGGGCTACAAAGATGCGGAGTCAGTTTAATTAAAATTTGATGAATTATAAAAAATTATATTACTGTAAAATTGTAACATTTAAAATTTATTTATTGCAAATATTATATGCCAAATTTATTGCTAGATTCGTGAGATCAACACATAATAGTTATTTATTGACTTGTCACTTATAGATCGAAGCTCAGAAGATTTTGGATTGCCAAGTATTGAATAAATAAACCTCAAGGAAGGTGTCATTGATTATACCAACCAGACTTGTGCCAGACTATTATTATAATCTGATAATTAAGATAATGTTATTTCAACAATATAATCTCCATATGTCTTAATACAATTCTCTTCCTAATGCTCGAAAGATACATTGCTAACTTCTTCTATCTCATACACAACGTTATTTAAAATTTCTCTGTGACAACGTCATAAGTATCTGAAACTTATTACTTTTATCTGCCTGCTTTGTACATAAAATGTATTGTATGTATGTATTGTAGCATGAACTAATATTGAAACAAGTGGCAATTGATTACTGAAACTGGTCTTCTTGCGGCCTCCACACAGCACACCCCCTACTGTAGATTAGCTGTAAATGTTGCATACAAATATATTAAAAAAATAAACTGGCATCATTAATTGTAAAAGTGGATTAATAATAAACTGATATTAAAATGTAATAACTTTTGTAAAGCCTCCTGCCTATTCCTCGTTAAAAATTCCTCGCAAGAATTATGCAATTATGTATTGTATTAATTCGATACATTTGTCACGTCTCAATTACATATATTCAGGCCATCCCGAGTCATTTGAGAATATCAATTAAAATTATCTGTTAAGATGTAAACGACCAACCGCACGTGCTACATAAATTTTAATTGCACATTGAATTGAATACATACAGATTTTCCTTTTGAACTTATTCAAATGGAAATCGATCAATGTGTTGTCGAGTTATCAACGTTACGCGCGTGGCTCGTATCAACAATTGCTTATATATTTAAACTCGCAATACGTAATACCAGTAAGTTTGTGAGATTTTGAAACATATTGAATTATCTGGCTGTTACTGGCGGTCAAATCAAATTCGTGACAACGAAGTAAGTAGATTCTTTACATCTTTAGCCTTTCGTTCTTATTACGCATAATTTTTTGATCATGATCAATAAAAATTGTTCTTGTAATTCGATAAGGGTTACATTTTTATACCATTTAAATTTGTGAAACAAAAATTTTGTATGACCAATTTTTAAAAAGATATTATCTATCAGTAAAAGAATAAACTATTTCTTCGAGTAATAAAATTATGAATTTCCTTTATACTTACTCTTTATGAATTTTCTTTTTACTTACAGATGAATTAAATTCTCACAATGCAGGAGATTATTTATCTTCTAGTCGTATTTTTAGCTTTTTCTCACAGTCAGTTAGAGGATTATAAGGATCTAAATTATCAACAGAATGGTAAGAATTTAACATACTTTCGATAAATGTTAAAGATAGAGATAGATAATTTTACATATTTAATCAATTTAATTGACACACGTATTGGTAAGTGTAATGAAAATAGACGAAATTCTTTTCTTTGTATATAGCCTTTTTATTATATATATATATATATATATATCTAATTGTATGTATCTAATTTTCATTTTGTAGAAATAAAAAATCAAAACAATTTCTCATTACCATGGAATGCAAATTCTAACCAAATACAGTACTCTCATCATAATTCCCAATGTAAATCTTATCGATTCAAATGTGTGGATTCCGGTCTCCACGCCGATGCACACAATTGCAAAAAGTATTACGAATGTATAAGGATTGGAAACAATCACGGATTTAAATTTCGTCGGTTAGTTCGTAAATGCGATGATGGCAAGGTTTTCTCGTACGCACAAGGTGGTACCTGCACACAACCTCAGAAAAGTGGAAGATTGGAGTGTACTAGCTATAAACAAATGAAGAAGCACAATTATTCAGGTAATTAATTTAATTTAAGAATTTAATAAATAAAGTAGGCATAATAGAAACTTATAAAAACATTCTGATTGGAAATATTAAACTTTAAATTCGAGAAAAAATCGAAGAATACCAGACTCAAAATAGAACTGAATATAATTGCATTGGAGGAACATTTGCAGAATGTATTGCTATATATAATTTTCCAGAATTAAAAAAGTTACGTAAACAAGGAAAAAAGATATGTCGACGAGAAGGATTTGTGTCACATCCTACGGATAAAAAGAAATATTATAGATGTCTTCGTCTCCATTCCGGAAAATTGATAGCATATGAGTTTTCATGCAGCAGTGAAACGATATGGGATCGAGTAAAACAAATGTGTTCACATCCCCGGAACATAATCGACCCTGATAATTCTGAGATAAGCGAAGAAGGTGACGAACACAGTAGATGCACAGAAATACAACTGATAATAGATTTTAATAATAATAGTTGTAAAAAAACAAATTTTAGACAAATACAAGTTTTAGATTCCTTACAAAAAGTACACGGATCAATTCTATTTTCTCATATATTCATTTATATTTTCTTAATAAATTAAAAATAAAAAGTTCAGCTTTATTGGTTTTTAAATTTATCACAAAATATTTATGTTTATATTATTTAGATATCTAAATATAACAAAAACATGCCAAAAACATAATATTCCATAAATGCCTATTTATCTAATTATATTTAAAGATTAAATCTTCCGATATATAACGTTTCATTCAAATATATACACTATGAATACATATAGCCTATTAATTCTCACTCTTTCTCATAATTCCTAAACTAAAATTATGATATTTAACGTTTTGGTTTATAAAATAAAATGCTATTTAAAATACTAATGCATATGCGAAAAAATTTATTAATAATTTACAATGTTATAATCATAATAACGATAATAACATTATAATATGATAATGAAGAATTAAATAAATAAGTTGACAACAAAAAAAGGTAAACATATAAAAATAAAAAACAATACAACTATAAATATAATTACAGCAAGTTACAACATATTATAAACAGTCTTATATAAATTTAAATTAATAAATTACAGACTCTACATCATCTAATGAAGAAAATCATACAAAAACACCGAAAAAGAAGAAAAATTCAAACGAAATAGAAACGACAACACAAAAAGGAAAAGAAGATAAACATTCAAGTCATGAAAAAAATAAAAAAAAGAAAGTAAAGAAAGTAAGGAGAGAAAACACAATCACAAAAATAAAGAAAAAAAGATTCACACGAAAAAAATCAAAAGAATAAAAATAAAAACAAACACAATAAAAACAAGAAGGATAGTAATGAATCAAATAGTAACAGCAGCGAAAAACATCATACAAAAAAAGAGAAAAATTCGAAAGAAATAGAAACAACGACAAAAAAGACATCGACCCCGAATACATCAGAAGAAAATAGTTCATCAAATGAAAATAGCCAAAGCAACGAAAGTAGGACAGAAAAAGTGACGACGCCGCAAGTTCCTACTGAGGGACAATCCAGTAGTAAAGAAGACAACAAGGAAAGCAGCGAGGGAATAGGGACGACGCCACAAGTATCAACCGAGGGACAATCTGGGAGCAAAGAGGATAGCAAGAGTAAAGAAAGCAGTGAGGAAGTAGGGACGACGCCGCAAGTACCAACCGAGGGACAATCTGAGAGCAAAGAGGATAGCAAGAGTAAAGAAAGTAGCGAGGAAGTAGGAACAACGCCGCAAGTTCCAACTGAAGGGCAATCCGGTAGCAAGGAGGACAGCAAGAGCAAAGAAAGCAGCGAGGAAGTAGGGACGACGCCGCAAGTTCCAACTGAAGAGCAATCCGGTAGCAAAGAGAACAGCAAGAGCAAAGAAAGTAATGAGGAAGTAGGGACGACGCCGCAAGTTCCTACCGAGGGACAATCCGGTAGTAAGGAGGACAGCAAAGAAAGCAGCGAGGAAGTAGGGACGACACCGCAAGTTCCAACTGAGGGACAATCTGGTAGCAAAGAGAACAGCAATAGTAAAGAAAGCAATGAGGAAAATGTAACGACTCCAGAAATTACCACCGAAGAGCCACATTGGAGCAAGGAAAGTAGTCAAAGTAGTGAGAGCAGCGAAAGCAGCAGCAGCAGTGACAGTAGTGAGAGCAGCAATAACATCAAGAGCAGTGAGAGTAGCGAGAGCAGTGATAGCAGCAGGAGCAGTGAGGGAAGCACGAGCAACGAAAGCAGCAAGATCAGTGAGAGTAGCCAGAACAGCAGAAGCAGTGAGAGAAGCAAAAGCAG